CAAGCCAATGGTCTTCTGACCACGTCAGGCATCGTCACCTCGTCGGGCCGGGCATCGTCACCTCGTCAGGGACGGCATCGTCCCGCGTAAACTAACACGCCTCAGGACGGACCTTACCCCGCGTAAACGAACACGCCTCAGGGTATTACTTTTCCCATCAATCCTACATTTACGTACCTTCGTTCCACACTCTACACACGTATCACATGGCCACACATACACACGGTCACACACAAATTCACATCTCGCACATACTTTTCACAATTTCCCACCCTCATCACGCAAACACCACACAAACACCCAAGCTTGGCACGCGAACTCAATGCGCAATCACGCCACCACACCTCATAGCCACACAATCACACATACGAGCTCATTCAAGCATCAAACTACCCGTCAAAATGCCACGATAACACCGAATAATTCTCGAGAGAGAGAAAAATCGAGAATATGTAAAATCGGATCCAAACTGGGCAGTTGTGCAGTGACAGAAATCCATTTGAAATAAATAGTAAACCAACTCCAAAAATTCTAAATTTTAGATATGTCATAAAAAACATCTTGATCAACATTTCTTATGAACAACATGAAATCCGGTTCAATCTGCAACCATGCCTTTTGTTCCCTCGAAGTCAGACCAAACTCTGTTCGCTCTAGCAGACTGTTTTGTCCTCAAAATACATTTCTTTCAACATCCAAATCACCTTGAAAAGCTTTGAAATTTTTATATGTTATAACCACAAGTGTCCCCAACAACTTTTATGAATGAATTATTTTGAAAATAGGTCTGGAAAAATTCATAAAAATTCGAACAGACCCAAAGGTCTAATGAACAGTAAATCGGGCAGACCCATTTCGGTCCAAAGATGGACTTTCGAATGGCCTCAAATGATTTCTAAAAATTCCCAAATTAAATTATGTTATATCTCAAGATGTTGGGAACAACTTTTATGAAGAAAACTTTCTCAAATTCGGCCCACAAAATTCTCTACAAAAATAGCAAACCGGGCGGATACAGTAACCGCGAATCCGCGATTCACCCCGAACCTCACGGATTCAAGCCCGAACCGATTTCTACCGAATTCCAACCGCCTAAACTCATTTCCCGACATCTAATCCAAATCGCAACAACCGCTAACAGTCATGATCAGCCATCAACAACCACAATCAACCACCAAAAACCATTATCGACACGTTAATCAACCTCTAAATCCTCTAAACCATACCCGAACGAGTCCGAAAATACCCGACGTCCTAAATAGGGATTAGATCGCGACTTACCCGAACTCTAGACTAGCTCGGCTAGAGCGGGAAGGTGGGACGGCTGGCCGGTGGCTCACGGCAGCACACGGCGGCGGTAACGGTCTCCCGGCGGTGATCGGCGTCCACGCGGCCGAGAGAGGGGGAAGGCGAAATCGGTATGGGGGAGAGGATGGGGAAGGAAACTGGTTCGGTGAGGGGGAGGGGCTGCCGTGGAGGGAGAGTGAGAGGAATGAGAAGAGAGAGAAGGTTTCTTGACTTAAATAATCAAATTTGACCAAACTTTCCAAATTCCAATTTTGCCCCTCCTTACTTGGCCAATATTCTCCTAAGCCAAAATATCCAAGGGCATTTTGGTCCAATATTTTGGGACTGATATTTATCCACAATTAATTCCCAAATTTAATTTCCAAAATCTCCAAAATTCGGAATACCCAAAAATAGGCCTAGGGGCAAAATCGTAATTTTCCAGTCCCGGGCCGAATTTCCATTTTTCGACCATACCAACCCCAAATATCATTGGCCACACTAAAATGACGTCATCCTCGTAAAAATAGTCGGGCACGACCTCGAAAATCGACATCCAAGTCCGGATCCAATTTCACGATCAAAATCGCCCAATCTCAATTTTAGGGTCTCTCACTAATGGGCGGCTGTTTAGGGATTACGCGTATCGACCTAGGGTTATTCGAGTCATGGCGACCTCGATCGTCACCGAAGGTCGACTCATGATCGAGTTCTTAGGTCCACGTACATTTCCCTAGGTAGCCATTCCCTAAAGGTTAGTATCCCGAGAATGATCAGTTCCGGGCGAGACTTACTAAAATGAAATGAGAAATAACACCTATTTCATTGATTCCGGAAATAGGTCGAAATTCAGGATGTTACAATTTCTCTTCCTCATTTTCATGGTTTTCCCCTTCAGGAGAATCATCCATAACTGTCAAAGTAACAAAATATAGAGTCACAATAAGAAAAGTGATGAATAATGTAGATCATCCATCGATGGAACAATTATATCATCCATTATATATATGCAAACTTTACCTAGTAAAAAAAACACTAACTAAAAACATGTCTCACATTAGAACATAAATAGAAATAGAGTTCACAAGTAGTACAAACAGAGTGCAAAACACCAATTGAAAATGATTCTTACATTACAATAATGTAGAAAGAGTTCAAATAAGTAGCTAACATCCTAACGATGACTATTATGCTCTTCCAACTTAAACTTGAGCCACTCGACCTTTTCTTCATCTCCATCTAAGTTCATGAAAATTTGCCTATTGTCTTTCTTTTCAGCAAAATGTGAGAGTGCAAAAAAGTATAACTTTTGGTCTTGCTTAGTCTCAGGGATGGCTTTCAATGTTTGCATAATTTCCTTGTAAGGATCAAACTCCCTTGCAAAAGATGTCGCATTGCTTTTACTTTCAATAGGTGGACAAAGTCCGTCAATTTGCGATGATAACTTGGCCGGTCCAGTCACTTTTTTTTCTTTCTTTCCTCAAGCTTGCCTTACTGAACTCTCCGCCGCTCTTTTATGGCTCTTACTTTGACTTGGTTGAACTACCTTTTCACCTATATTACACTCTAAAGTATCAACAGTACATCCTAGATAATCACCAATATTAGCTTGTGTGGCTTCAATATCCTCATTATTGCATAAACCTTGGGCAGGATTCCATGTGATACTTCCGGTAGCAACTATACCTTGTAACATTCTATCCAACAATGCTTCAACCTCCGGATGTATGCCTTTCATTTGAAAGACTTTAAGCTTAGGATTGGCTCGTTACAATAAAACATTTTCATGAGTTGTATCATAAAATATGAACTTAGAAAAAAGTAACAAAAGTAGAGATAAACACTTTAATTTTTCTCTTCCACCATTCATTACTCGCATCAATGGTTTTCTTCCTTGGATCCCATCCTAGTCCCGTTTCCTTTTGAATCAATTGCTTTCATTTTTTCCATTCTTCCTTCAGATTATCCCACTTACTCTTCATTTGATTTTTATCAAACTTTTTGCTCCTTAGCTCCTCAAACTTGTTAATTATGACTATCCATCCATCCCTTTTATTGCTTGCCGGACGATTGCCTTTTTCAATTTGTTCACTGTACAATTGACAAAAAGTTTCTACATCTTCCAGGCTTCAATATGCCTTTTTCTTTGATGAACTTGCCATCTTCCAATAAAATAACCACGAACACATTTGAAAAATGCAAACAAACGAGATTAAAGTATGACTCAATTCCGTAAACATGAATGAACACATGTGTATGCAAATTTTGACAGAACATTAAAGATATAACATAAAGCTATAGCACAATCCGATGTCCAACAAAATCATCATGGAGTGTTCAGAATGGAAAATCAATTAATTGGCAAAAGAGACTTATAGACAAAACTTAAAGCTACAATACAATGCGACATCCAACATAAAGCTACAGACATGGTTGTGGGCAATTAATTGGGAGAGAGACCTATTGTGTTTATAAAAAAAACACTACGAGAAGGAATCGAAGCAAAAGAACCTGGATTCAAGGTGAGACGAGCAACTGGGTTCTGAGCGAAGAAAGAGGCGAGCAACTCAATTCTGAGCGAAGAGAGAGGTTAACAAAACTATAGGAACCACAAGCTAATATGCACAAATGGTAGATAATCTATCAATATTTTTATAAAATTACAACATCTGTTCGTACTTTGTATGTTAACAAATTTTAGTACTAACTTTATTTGCATAACTTGCTTCAAATTTAATAACCTCCTATGTAAAATTATCAAGTCTAAATTAGAGTTTTGTACAAACTTTTATTAGATTGAATTATCAACAAATTTTGTATCATCAACTCTCATTTGAGTTGTTTGAACTCTGGCATGAAACTCTGTCGTGACCCTCCCAAATTGGGTTTCTTTTGGGAAACGGCATAAGAAAAGTTTAAAGGTGTTTCCTTGATTAGATGAGGGCTCTCCCAAATCAGATAAACTTAGCTAAATCTAAATTCATTTGAATGAAATCAAGCCCATATTTGCCAAATTTGTGATCATAAAACAAGACCACATTTTTTTTCTCTTTTCTTTACTATCATTGTCTTCCACGTCCACCAGCTATTACCATAATTTCTTCTCACTATGCATGTATATTCTAAAATACCAAAGCTTCAACAACGATAATCTGCATCCCACACTCGATGAGAATGACGCTATCTCCCGTTAATCATCACCGGTCACTGATCTATGACAATCTCCCCTTCGGAACAAAATTGGTACCTCTTCCTAAGCAAACCAAACCCATTTTTATTGTGCTAAACTTCAACCATTAAGACCAAAAGAAAGCCTCAAGCCCCGGACCAAGCCCCTCCCATTATTTATTTCTTTTTAATAAATCCAAGGACTTCTTTTGTTTTCCCTTTAACCCAGAAACTTCAATACTCACGTATCAATTTCAGAATAGTACAACTTCAACAATAGTGCCTACATATCTTATCCTAAACCAAAATAACATGCTTTATCATCAAGACACTTGTAAACAGCCAACGATACACAACATACCATCTACGATCGAATCATTACACGAAATGTAAAATACAGAACATAGAGCAAATGAGCCCAGCAATACTCTAAGCAAAGATGAAATATGGTAGAAGTCATCCTCTTAATTAACCCACCAAATAGTGTCTATCGAGTAAAACGATTTCAATTCAGTTCAAGCATTTCATCAAGCAGGTGGTGAGCAAATCAATCACGCCATTCATACACAAGTTTCATGGAGTAGCTTGTTTATTTTAGGATAATGGTATTTTGTGGATTTATGCTACCATTTTTAGATGACAATTATAGTCTTTCATAGAGGCCACCCTCTCTATTGGATTTGCCTGAGCATCTTATGTCCTCTTTCTCTCCTTCCATCATTCGCTCACACTTTCAACCGACAATTTTCATGCTTAAAACTTCAACCAATAGATCTCCGTTTTCCCTATCCTGCATGTTTGACAAAGAAATGCTAAAATACATATTAATCATCTTGCATAAACATGGCACTTCAAGTGAGGCAAAAGACTTAACAATCACAACTAGAAAAAACACTACGAGAAGGAATCGAAATAAAAGAACCTGGATTGGAGGTGAGACGAGCAATTGGGTGACGAGCGAAGACAAAGGCGAGCACGGCGAGGCGAGCGACTTGGTTCTGAGCAAAGAGAGAGCCAAACACTAGTAAGGCAAGTGACTTAACAATCACAGCTAGAAAAAACACTACGAGAAGGAATCGAAGCAAAATAACCTGGATTCGAGGTGAGATGAGCAACTGGGTTCCGAGCGAAGACAAAGGCGAGCATGGCAAGGCAAACGACTTGGTTCTAAGCGAAGAGAGAGGCCACCAAGAGGCGATCACGAGAGAAGAAAACGGTGAACAGAGAGCAACGAGAGAGAGAGAGAGGCGAAGCGAGCGGAGCTTAAGGGGTTAGCGTGACCACTGCTTCTAGGGTTTCTAACAAAAGAAGGGTTAAAGTGGAAATTAGATAAATCTATGAGGGCAATTTTGGCAATAAAAAAAATTCATTATTATCCCTACAGCATGCCGAGAATGCTGAAATGCCAAGGCAGGCAGAAGGCTGCCTTGGGTTTTTAGCCTTCAAAAGGCGATTTTCTCTTAATGGGGTTTCTAAAAAAATTTCCCAACCACCAAATTTTGGCCCAAGGGGCTTTAGATGCCCAAAGTGGCTTGGCAAAGCCATTCCCAAACCTACCCAATGTAGGGATGTTCTTGTGAGTCGTTTGAAGAGTTTTGCTTTAGGCTTGAACATGTTGCGATTTTGTGCTATAAATTTTACATTAAATTGAGTTTGTTTATTTGTAAAAAACTTAGGGTTTGGATATAATCTAGGTATTGGAAACACTCGAGCGTGTAGACGATTGTAAACTTTTGATTCTCCAATTATTAGTGGATTATTTGTTGCCTGCTCTTCCCGTAGATATAGGTACTGACAGTCGGATTGAACCACGTAAAATTTCGGTGTCCTTTATCATTCCTCATTTATTTCTTCGGTGCTTTCATATTGACTTAATTTGCAAGACCCCGGTTAGCTTTCACGGTTTTACTTTAATATTACAACAAATTGGTACTCGACTGTGATTTGGGGCTTTTGCTTGTATGATTATTATTTGGAAATTATGCTGTTGCAATTATGTCTGGAGCAAAAGTTGAAATTGAAAAGTATAACGGGACGAACAACTTTAGGTTATGGAGATTTAATATGGAGTCGCTATTAACAACTCAAGGTTCGGCCAAAGCATTGGAGGGTAAGGATAAGTTGTTTGAAACAATGAAAGATGCCAAAAGGACATGTTAATGAGGAAGGCGATGAGTATAATCTCGTTAAACTTATTAGATGAGGTGTTAATAGAGGTGGTCGAGGATAAGGATGACACGGCATTGTGGGCAAAACTTCATGCATTATATGTAATGAAGGGTTCGAACAATTGCTTGTACACGTTGAAGAGGATGTTAGGTACGTCAATCATATCCTACCTAGGTGAGTTTAATAAACTCATGATGGATTTAAAGAACTTTGGTAAGATTCTAGATGATGAAGACCAGGGCTTGATGTGACATCCTCAATTCGAACCTCTATTTCGGATGCAAGGAATGGTCTAAAGCATCGCGCTGATAGCAGGATTAGACCATGGGTCGCACACGCGAAGCCCCTCAAAGCCACCCTCTCGTGTAGGCCGCGTTAGAATCACTTCCAATCGATTTTAGCCACAAGACTTGATCTGGTTACGGGTGTCGATTTTTGGATTATTAAGGGATAATCTTTTTTTAGGCGACGCTTAATTAAGCCCCGTAGTTATCATTAGCCTCCTAATCTTTGGACAAGTGGAAGTGAACAAATTATTGGAGGCCCAAGGAAGCCACACACCTAAGAGAGGAGGAAGAAGCCAATGAGCCTTTGTCTTGCCCAATTCAAGCTCATTAATGGCATTTGGAAGCTTGCCCATTAATGTCATGTGCTCAAATAGTGCTATAAAGTATAGGCTTTAATGAGGCTAAGGTGAGACTTGCTCTTCAAGCTCTCCCTCATTAATTGCTTCTAGAGGATAGATGATGATAACCTAAGGTGAGGCTTGGTAAGGAAGAGATCTTACAACCTTAGCCTAGGTTAGCACTCATGAGCTCTTGTATTATTGTCCTCTCATAACCAAGCAATTTGAAGAAGCCTTGCAAGCCTAGACTAGCCTAGGATAGCCCTCAAGTGTCCTTGCATTATTGCTCTCTCTCAAACTCAAGGAAGCCTATCCTTTTCCCTCTCATTATCTCTTTTCTCTTATTCTCTCTCTCTCTCACGCTCTCTCTCTCTCTCCTTCCCTCTCGACCGCTCGCCGTCCTCGTCACCACCACTGCACGCTGTCCTCACCGCCGCTTGCCATTCGTTCGTAGTTCGTTGGCATCCATAGATTTCACCCCGATTTTGTGAGTAGATCCCTTAACCCTTGGATAGGGCATTGTGTTGCGTAGTTCGAATCTAGGGTAGGTTACGGTTCCGTGATTTTCATGGTTGATCTTGTTTGTTTAGGAAGAGGAAGCTTGTGTATGAATTTTGTATGGTTTGCTCATGATTTGCTTGGGTTTCGAGGTTCGGGAATTAGTATATCCTTGTCGCGTATATGACTAGTTATAAGGAAAGTTTAATATTGCCACATGATGGTCGGATTAGGAGAGACCGTTGTTATTTGATTATGTTTTACCATGTGCATGTCTATTTTTGCAAGAAATCGTTATGGATGAGTTATGTGTTTGTAGAAGGTTGCTCATAACCGTTAATGAATGATTTTAGTACTTGTCTTGCCAATATTGATTTATAATGAAGTATTGTTGTTTATATGTGATTATGGATGCTTGAAATCATGCTCCGAGTTGCTCGGCATTTGTCTATCGACTCGGTTTCGGTAAGTCATAATATACATTTGTTGCATGCCTTTAAGGCTCTTGCATGGACTTAAAGTGGAGATAAGAACCAGTATGAGTGATTGTTTGTGTGTGTGATCACATAAGAGAACCCGTCACCAATGGATTTCGGGGCGATGCCCAATGGATTTCGGATGTCATTCGCAGATGGATTTCAGAATGAAACCCTCGATTGGATGCCGTCGACGAGTGAGGTCGAGATGTTGCCATGTTCGATGGGGCGATACGATGCCCGGTCATGCCGTAAGCGCCGACAGAGGTTCGTTTGTGGCCGATTGTGGTCGGGCAGCTTGCGGTCGTAATAATTGGAACACACGTGAGATGTTGTGAATGCAATTGTGCGCAACTTATGTGACATGAATTGGACTCTTGATTATTATGTGCACTGTGGTGTAGCTAGCAAGGATCACCTAGAGGGGGGGTGAGTTAGTGATCTTAAATAATTTTTGATAATTTATGCGGAAACAAAATAAATCACAGAAGAGTCTGAATAAAATTCAGATTCAAGACAGATTATATAGACGGTGCTCTTGATGTGCAGAATGTAAAGTAAGAGATAAGGGATAGAGAATCTGCACACAAGTTTATAGTGGTTCGGCTTATAGCAAGCCTACGTCCACTCTCCCACGCTTACAGCCTACCGGCTGGATTTCACTATGTAATCAAGAGGAATTACAACTTTTGAGTGTTAACACTCTTGTGTATGATAGGAATCTCTATCTCACACAATCACTCTTACAAAGTGTCCCTCAAGATCTTAATGTTTTTGCTCAGAACGACAAGAGAAATGATTGGAGTATGTTCAGACTTTGGACTTGTTGATTCTTGATTCTGTATATCTTCTGCTGCTCGTTGATCTCCTTAAATACTCCTCTACTAGCCGTTGGACAGCTTTCAGAGGATCATCTTCCAATCTTCACTTTGGACAGATTTGTATAATAAGGATTGAGTAGCCGTTGGATGACAGATTCTGAATCCCGCTGATTCTGGTCGCCCATACAATCAGAATCTTAATTTCTATAAGTACAGCTTTGTCCGTTGAAATGCATTCTTGTCGTAATGTTTAATTGTCAATCAATTTGATTGAGATTGAGACAATCAGAATATTCCTTCTGTGAAATCCATGCCAGATCACTAGCTGTTTTGTTTCGTTCTGAATTCTGCGTCTGAAGAAATTCTGCGTCTGAATAATTTCTGCGTCTGCGTCTGCATCTGAATAACTTCTGCTTCTGCATCTGCATCTGAATAACTTCTGCGTCTGAATCTCAGAACCTAGATTATGTGGGTCTTCAAAAACATACTTGATAGCTTGTAAAGTCTGAATAACTTTCTTCTGAGTTTCCAGAACATAAATACCTGGAATAAATTAGTTCAGGATAAGTATCAAACTTATAATAACATGGAAGGTTTTGTCAACTTCAAAATCAATAGGAGTTTTCCTCAACAATCTCTCCCTTTTTTATGGTGACAAAACTTTCCTGTAGATTGAATAATTTTGAAATTGATTTGAAAGTAAATAAACATATTAAGCTCATGAAGCACAGATTGAAGGATCAAACTCTGTTGATATCTGTGTCTTTTTTCTTCCTTTGTATATAACCTGCAAATCTGCATATAATTTCTCTCCCTTTTTGTCATCAGCAAAAAAAATAATACTAGAGAGAATAAAGCACTGAGATTAAGTAATCAACCAGTCTAACAATAATTGTGAGATATATTACAGACCAATTGAAAAAATAATAATAATGGAGAGAAATGTTGAAAAACAAGCTATTTTTTAGGAGTACGAATCAGTTGAAAATTTTCCAATATTGAGACAGCCTCCTCAATCTTCGAACTGCATTGACCTATGGCCTTATCCATATTGGATGAACACATAGTAATGGCTTTCTCTAACTCTGCTTTATTTGCTGCTGCCTGAAGTTGTTGAGCCTTGTTGTTTTCCTCAACAATTTTCTGTAGATTCTTCATATTTTGTTCTAGAGCAGCTTGTTTGTCTTTAATCTCGAGCAGAATATAAAGGATGTTCTGATTTTCAGATGGCTGACCTTGGACATTAGCTTCCTCAAACTGATTGTACCCTGTGGCTGATTCTGGTGGAATCTCCCCCTGAACAGGTGCTTGATCTTCAGAAACATGTTCTTCATGAATTGATTTTGAAACCTTTGAAGTTGGTTCAGGAACATGTTCTGGGCCTCCTGTTTCAAAGTGTTCTGCTTCTGCTTCATCATTTTCATCATGCAGAAGAATTTTACGTTTCTTGCTGTACACTTTTAGGGGTAGGAGAATCAGGATGCTTACTGGTTGAACTGGTTCTTTTCTTTTGCTCCTTTTCTTTCTCCAATTTCTTTCCAGCAGATTTAGCCACCGACTGTTGAGCCTCTTTTCCTCTTACTCTGTCCCTTACATCTTCAAATTTCTTCATTTTGGAGAGCATTTTTTCTCCAACAAACATAAGAGGTAGCATGGTTTCGCGCAACTCATCAGGAATAGATATTTGTAAGAACATGAAGATTCTAGTGATAAGTGCACCATATGGAAGATGACCCTTATCCTTCTGTAATGCTCTGTACATATGGAATATGATGAGGTGAGGGAGAGAGAAGGATTGACCTTTTAAGATAGCCCAAATGAGCTTGA